GTGGCTCAGGGGATAGAGCCTTCACCTTCCAACGAGGTGAGCCTGGTTCGAATCCCATCGCTGGCGAGTCTATTCGAAATCCGCACCCTGCTGGTACAGACCACAGTTCTGGCTTAAAATATCCTCAGTGGTAGACAGATCATGGTTTAAGACTCCTCTTGCCATCAGGATAACTGTGAGATGTTTTCGTGGTTTTCCTCTACATGTAACGCAAATGCGGGTTAGTTCTATCAAAAAATCCTACACGAAGTCAAATTTCTTCCACTACTTGATCCAGAAGGTCCTTGTCTTCTGGATTGGATTCAAAATGACAAGGCTACGGACCTAAGCATTAGTTGGTGTAAACCCAAAATTGGATCTATTGTTCAACAACGGTTATAAAATGTTATGGGAATATAAAATGTTCTTTTTTTGCACCTAACTTATTGGGGCATTTAGAAAAAAACTGAGATAACAGTTCGAATTAAAATATTTGTTATTTTTATTTTTTCAGTGAATTGTGTTAATTTTTCTAGGTTTGTTGATAGCAAACTACTCATATAGATACTTTGATTTGCTTTGAATAAAAAAATCTGGTGTGAATCGAATTTTTCAATTATTTTATAAAAGTTTCCTTTTTTTTATCAGATGCTATTTGTTTTCAATTATCTTAACTTTCTCTATTATGTGAATATTTATTTCATTAGTTTCAACAAAACCAAGAAGCAATTTTATGAAGTAGTTGTTTAGTGAAGTATTTTCCAAAAGACTTGGTTCTATTGAAAATAATTTTTCTATCCTATTTATTTTTATCTTCCTCAACATCATTTCTTTTTTATCATTGAATGAATGGGGTATTTAGTGTTTCAGTTTGTTTTACTGACTCCAATAAAGTGAAATACTTTCCCAATCTGGAAACAAATTTCGGTTCTTCCAAATGAAAGGAAAGCAATATTTTGTATTCAGAAATTTCGTTATTTAGAACGAAACATTATTTTTTAAAGTTAACTCAACTTTTATCTTGTCTTCATTAATTGTTGCACTTTGTTTATAACGCTATTCAGCTTAATGTTATTTCGTAAGTATGTATCAATTGATGGCATTTTTTTTACACATTCAACTTAAGGATATACCTTCTAAACAAAATTGTGTAAATATTCTAGAGACTGGATTCGCAGTATTCTATAGACAAAGTGCGAAGTTAGTCCGCACCTTCGTGAACTCGTTCCCGGTGTTGTTTAAATGCTCTCCTGAATGACTTAAAAATGTGACTTATCATTGTCCTTCTTATTTCAATTCCCACTATTAGTTTCACATACATGTTCAAATTTTCATTCGATCATAAAAATACTTTATTATTCATCCACACAACTTCAAATACATTTTTTTTAAAACTTGTACTGGATGACAGTTGATGTTAATACAGTTTTTTTTCAAATATTAATTCCTCAGTTAAATTTATTTAATTAATTTTAGTTCTAAAAGGGTGAAAAAGTCATAATAATTTAATATAAAGTAACTAAAAGAAAATTTTCCTTTGTTGACCTCACTAGGAATTGACTATAATTTTTTTTTATATATATTACTTGTTTTTAATGAAACTAATACCAGAAAATAACTGGTAGAATCATTTATAAAATACTATATTGCTTTGATGTTCGATTTTCCATCAAGAAAAAGTTTATACTATCTTCTATCCATACTAATATCACACAGATGTTCGATTTAAAAATATCTTTTAGCTAAAATTGGTTAGTTAAAACATTTATTTTACTGAATCTATTAGTTTTTTTAATTTTTCTGGAAGTAGCTTAGCTTCTCAGTACATACGTTGATCACTATGCCTCCACCTGTCAGCCAAATTTTTCGAATAAAATTTTAAAAAAGAATGTTTACGTTTTTCTCATTTCATTAATGTCGGAAATGTTTTATTTTTTTATGTAAAAGTTTTAAAGAAATAGATGCATAGTAAACTCTGTTTTAGATTTCTCTTAGTTCTAAATTTGTTGTCCTATTATTTAATTACAAGCGTTGTAACTCTACCTTTGATTTATAATTACTGCATAATTTCTTAAACTACGTGTGTTTCCGTGTGTTCTACGTGTGTAACTTTGATATAACCATAGGTATCTGCCAAAGAAGTAGTTATTACGGCAATTAAGTGCTTTAGAAGGGAAAAAAAATGCATTAAGCTCTTAAACCATTTATGAATTCAATTCATTCTTCTCCAATTGATAATTTATGTTCCATTTTTTCTTTTCTTTCTAACTTTTTGTATTCCCTCATTCTTCTTAGATGGTGTACAAATTTGTATTACTAAAGAAAACAGTAGTCGATATATTTCTTTAACAAAGGTGGGGGAAGTTTTTTTTAAAAAAATATTTTACATTATCTTTTTTTCCATTGCGAAAGTTTTTATGAATCGTAAAAAATCTTTGTAAATATTAATTAAAAAAAAAGCTCTAAACCCTCTATAATACTGATTACAATAATACAAATACTAATGTATATCTGATTTCATCTCCATCATTTCTTTTTGTTTATTTTTGAATAAATATGGAGTCGCTGAGTGGTTGGCTCATGCATACAGTTCCACAATTTCTATTTTTTTTTTTGGAGGTGGGAGGAGATAAAAAGGCGTTCTTTTTAATTGATACGAAATCTATTGTTTCAAAAGGGAATTACTTTAATGGATTTTTTTCACTAAAAGTGTTTTAGTCGGGCACTTAATTTTCACTTTTTTTTAAAATAGTATTCCCTGGACAAATTATTAGACGCATTTTAAGATTTTATATAAAATCTTAATTATTAGGTGATACCATATATGGCAACGTTACTTTTTAAAAGTAACGAGTAAAAGTACAAGTATTTTTAAAAAAAGTAACGAGTAAAAAGTTCTTATTTTAAAAAGTAACGAGTAAAAAGTACAAGTACTAAACAAAAAAAGTAACGATTTAAAAGTACATTTCTAGGAAATCGAAAATTCAAAATAACCTAAAATTTTATTGAATAATATTCTTATGTTCTTTAATGTTTTTGCAAAATTGTTGTTATTTATTTAATTATTTTTAATTTTGAAAGTTATGGACATTAATTTGCTTTTAAATTCGGAAGAATATTATAATATAATTTTATAATATAATCGTATAATATAATTTTAATATCAAACTTTTTATGGCTTTGCACGAAAAAGAAATTTTATCTATTGATTTTAATTTTTAGTTTATTATTTTTATTTATTTAAATTACCATTGATTTAAAATTGTTTTACTCTACAGAAACGCGTTTTAAAAGCACAAACATAAACAAAGCAAACACGGGGTTTCAGATAGCTTTGTGATCTTTGAGCTAGTAAAAAATAATTGAATATGCAGTATAAGTTGAAACAGAACAGTCTACAGTTTTATTTGTAACAATGGCTAATGCTGAAGTCATGCGAGAAAATCATTTTCCGAACATTTCTGCCTAACGGAATAGTTAAAATTTGTAAACGAATTTTAGTATCAGCTGCTAAATTAATACCTTCGAGTTTTCAAGAGTTAAAATAGTAATTATAATTTTCAATAGCACAAAGAGTTCTGAAGTTCTTAGAGATTTGACTGGGCGTTGTTTGACAAGGTCGGGCATAGACATAATTTTAGTAAAAAATGTACTGGGTAAAAATGTATTTAGTAAAAAATGTATTAAGACAAAAATGTATTATTAGTGAGTTCAAAAAGAAAATTGAAAAACGTGAAAACAAAATCCAGCATTTTTTATTTAAAATTTATTAAACAAATGCATAAAACTCGAAAATGAATGAAAATAACTTGCTAATTAATATTTTTATTCATTTTGCAAAATAATTGCATTTCGAAAGCATTTTTTTATTTTTAGAAAGCTTACCAATGAGTTTTAGAAAAAAGTAGCGATTTCATTCGACATTTCCGTTACAAATACTTGTACTTTTTCCCCAAAAAAGTAACGAAAGTGCAAGTAAAAGTACTAAATTTAAAAAGTAGCGAAGTACAAGTAAAAGTACGTACTTTTTACTTGTACCGGCGGAACAAGTAACGAAAGTAAAAGTACTGCCATATATGGGTGATACTATACAGCATTATTATTTTTACGTGGCTGAAACCAGTTCACCCCTGTTTACGATTGCGTATAAATTATTTAAATCAGGCGATATTTAATATACATTTGTCAATTGAATAAATTAGACGATATATTATATAAATATAGAATTATATCACGCATTATATTAGTATTATTAGAAGCACTGTAGTTTTTTTTAATAATGACGTGTTTTGCACGAGTTTATAGGCAACACTTTTATATTTAAACGGTTTATATTAAAATGGGTTTTTATTCAAGATATTTTTTACATACTTCCTATTTGTATTTATTTTTAGCGTAATGGTAATCAATTGATACACGAATGTAAACGAGTACAAACTGGTTTCAGCCGCTTGAAAATAGTAAAGTTGTATAGTATCACCTGATAATTAAGATTTTAATAAAATCAGAGATGATTAAAAGGCAATTTTAAGAGATAATTAAGAGATTATATTCTAATCAAATCAGAGATAATTAAAATCCGAAATCTTAATTATCACCTGATAATTAAGATTTTAATAAAATCAGAGATAATTAAAAGGTAATTTTAAGAGATAATTAAGAGATTATATTCTAATCAAATCAGAGATAATTAAGATCAGAAATCTTAATTATCACCTGATAATTAGGATTTTAATAAAATCAAAGATAATTAAAAGGTAATTTTAAGAGATAATTAAGAGATTATATTCTAATCAAATCAAAGATAATTAAAATCAGAAATCTTAATTATCACCTGATAATTAGGATTTAATAAAATGAATTGAGGTTTTAATAAAATCTTAGAGTGCGTCCAATAATTTGGCCATGTACTGTATTTTTGTTTTGTTTTTGTTCTTAAACAAAACATTCGTAGTTCTTATAGTATACATCTAACCCAGTTTACTTAGAACACAAAATGAAAATACTGAAATACACAGACGCTGGGTGCGACATCAAATTTAATACAGACGATAAAGCACTGAAATACACTAGATAGGCTTTAAATACAAAGATAAATATTTGTACATGAAAAGATATTAATTTAATACACATCATAAATGAGAGAAAGATAGTTCGAACAGACTTGGAATTTTTATAATATTGTTTAAAACTTGGACATTTCTTGAAAATTGAGATTTTCAGTCCCATTGAAAGAGCACGGACATTCGAATGTCGCAGATTCTAAATATGGGTTCCCGTTTAATTCTTCTCAATAACATTGTTAGTTTCTCCACTAAAAATGTTTTTTTTAATGTTCAAAAAGAGAAAAAAAAAACAGATTCTGAAAAATAAAGCTCAAAATAACCAAAACCGTCAAGTCTTAAACCGTAAAGATAAAAGCCAGCAATAAAATAAAAAAATATCGAGTATTTCCTATAGAAATGGTGGCCTCGGTATAATAGATCTTTTTCAGATACAACATTGAATGCATGATTAGCCTATTTAAAAGTTAAATATTCAAATATCATTCAGAAAAGTTCAAATTTAGTTTTTGCATTTATTTTTCAGAAGTTAATGAAATAAAGGTTATAGTTTTTCTCAAAACATAAATATTTGTCCTCTGGGTTAATTTTTCCCAAAAGAAAAATAAGAAAATAATCGTTTTTGTTCCTTTCTACTTTATTTATTGTTAGCAAACATTTGAGAACTTATCTTATTCGAAATGTTCGGTATATTTAAATTAAATATATAGCAGAAACTGATATTCATCAGATAGATATTTTGTTTTTAATCCCTTCAGGACCATACTTTCTGCATACTCTGACAGTATACGTATTAAAATGTAAGTATACATCCTAATACGAGACGTAATACAAGAGTACCTTATGGAGTCCGTGTGATCTAGGGCAGCTAGAGTTGGAGAAGGTCCGTTTTAGAAGAAGGGTCCTGAAGAGGTTTTTGTAATTTGAATGCAAATACAAGATGTTATGAAAAGTTTGCTAGTTCATGAATTCTTTTGTCACTGTGTGAAACTGTGCTGGTGTATTTACAAAAGTAGGAGGCTCGACTATTCTTCTTCCAGCATTGACAGGTGAAAGTGTTCTTGAACTCTTGCCGGAACTTACCTGGGAAGAAAATTACATTAAAAAAAAACAAATAAGATGAAAGGTTTGTAATGAAATGAAATAAAAACTAGATACCAATCAATGTCTGTCACACAAAGAAAAAAGGCAATTAAATTATTCTACACGAAAAAACGCTATTTTTATTTCCTTTTTACCCATTGGCCAAATGGGTCTTGCTTTGGATTGGATGGCTTTCACACACTGTGTTCGAGAGTAATAGTAAACAATGCGTTGCTATGGTGACCGTTGCTCTTTTTCTTTTCACTCGCAGGCATTCTTAATGTATTTATACATCATAATAATAATTTAAAGTATAATGACTGGCTCTTGACGGTGATTTCAATATAAATATGAATGCTGAAGGAGGAAAAGTATGTCTTGAAACACGTACATAGACCAGGATCAACCCGACGACTAACATCAATTGATGACAGTTTTTGCGACCCACGATTTGAAATGTTAATCCAGAAAGAAAAAGCATTTTGACCCATGGGTGACCAGTGATCTTAATGAGGCGAACACAACTTTTAATTTAATATACTTTTTATAATTGTAATCAAATTATAAAGATATCACATTATTATTTTTCACTGTTTTCTTTGTATTTTTCACTAAATTAAAAGTTTAAAAAATCTAAAGGTTATCCGAGGCTTTTTTTTTTACATTTTGATTTTGTGCGCGATGCAAGTGGACGCAAAATGCAATGCAATTTTATGAATGCCGTAAAATGGATGAAAGTTAGAGCCCAGTTCGTTAGTTCAAAGTTTTTGGGTGAAAGTTCGTGTCAGAGATGAGGCACAAAACTCTAGTTGCTCCGCCTACTGAAGATACATTTTACGTGGACACATATTCTCGGCTTGTAGAAAAGATTCAAACTTGCATTGTTATCCCGCATAAAGAAGCTGTTTTAAAAGAAATTAAAATTTTGATTCAACCTCAAATGAAATGGGAGTGCTCCAATTAGTCAGAAATAGCCTTGCGAGGTTCGGTTTGAGCCCAATAGAGATGAGCTTTAGCCACTATCTTGAAGTGACTGAGAGGTATAAAAGAGAGAAGAAATTTCTATTTAAGAAAGTATCGTCTCTTACTTTTTTTATTATCATAATTAAATAACGCCAAAATCAAGTAAAATTTAAAAAAAACAAAGCATGAAGTATGTGAAAGTAAAATTTATTTACAATACCTATCTACACAAAAGAGGTATTTACATTTAATAAAATTACATCAAACAAAAAACGATAGGAGCAAAAGGGTACGATATTTAATACATACCATCAATTGAATGATATCGAAGCTCGATTACGCTAAATTGAATGATAGACCTAATAGTTTAGAAGTTATAAAGGTTTCATTTATAGATATTGCAATACCTCACTAGTCTAGAAAGTTATATATTTGTTTTTCTTCCTTTTAACTCTTTCTCATTAAATTCAGGACTCACACTTCCTTTTGGGGCCCAACCCCCAACTTATAAAACAATAGGCCACCCTAATTATGTCCGTATTTAAATACGTAGGCCTATTAGATTTTTCCTGTCCACCTTTTGTAACAGATGTTACGGAATCCCATAAAGCCTGTTATCCCAAGCCACTGTAAAAAATACATACTAAACAAGAGTTCACTTTTCTTGATAGTTATGTTCAAGTTTATCTTTTTTAACCCCTCCCCCCTAATCAATTCAAGATGCTCGCCTCTGGAGAAAAGGGCAAACATTCAGCATCCTACAATTGTTTTCTCAGTTATTTTTTCTTTAAACCAATGTCAGTGATTTCTTTTTCATTGGCATATTTTTCCATTAATGAAATAGAGCTGAAACTTTGCAGCGCAGGTCACATACCGAATTTTGAATACCTGATACGAAAACCCAAAAACAAAGCTAATCGTTGCAACTTTTAGATATGATTTACAGATTATAGACTTTTGAAGCTTATTTCTCTTCAAACATAGAATGCGTACTAAATCTAATGGCTTATAAGAAAATTGAAGAAATTGTTCCGTAAAGATGCTACAGGTCTCGTAGGAATGCGCAAATTAATCACTAGAAATATATGAATTTTTCCCTTTGTAAAAAATTTCACCATGGTTGGGAGCTATAAATGCACGTGAAGAGCCCTGGTGGCTCAGGAGATAGACCCCTCCCAATGGGGTGACCCGGGTTCGGTCCCAGGTCGATTCGAATTTTGAACCCGGCTCGAACCGACCACACTGCAAACGTAAAATATCCTCATTGTTAGACGGATGATGGATGAGTTCCTTTGCCGTCAGGCTAACTATTAAAGGTTTTCGTGGTATTCTTCACTAGGTTACGCAAATGCTGGTTAGTTCCCTCAGAAAGTCCTCCACGAAGACAAATTTCTCCGACTACTTGATCCAGGAGTTTCCTTGTCTTCTGGATTGGGTTCGAAATGACAAGGCTGTGGAGTTGAACATGAGTAGTCATAAACCCAAAAATATCAGGTCGGCTATTTATAAAGTAAAAAAGTTTTAGAGAAAAAGAATAATAATTACCATTCATGATATTGTATATGATTGGATTAATGGCGCTGTTTGCGTAACACAGCCAATGGGATAGAAGAGACACAACAGTTGTGGCTGGAGTCTGAGGTAAACCAACTGTATACCTAGAAATGACAACAGTCTGTAGCACGTACGATAAACATTTAAAAACAGTCTCCTATGAAGACATTTTATTTTAAATATTTTTATTTTTTGACTTCACTCATGTTGTGTATAGAACTTTAATGTAAGGAGATTTTGCTATTACGGAATCGAATCCACGATCGATTTTAACAATGCGTTGGTCCATTGAGGTGGCAAATTGAAATTTCTAATCCCTCAAATTTAACCGCATAAAAACCTCTAAAAATGTCATTAAAAATAACCCCGATATATATAAGCTCACAGGACAAAAAATTAGTTACCCTTAGAGAAATCATGAAAAAGATCATTTAATAACGTGTAACACCGCCTTTAGATTTGATGACCGCCTGGATTCGGTTAGGTAGTGAGCCCACAAGGTTTTGCAAGTACATCGAATCCAGTTTAAGCCCCTCGTTGAGGATTTGATCTCTCAAATTCACCGAATTGTGAGAATGCTGATTTTGGCGTTTTACCCGTAGTTCCAGCATGTCGCACAAATTTTCAATGGGGTTCAAGCAACACCTCCTAGAATAAGGAAGGCCTCAGCACGGATCAAATTAGTAGTCCGATGTGACGAAGTTAACTGCGCAGTTGATGAAAAATAAGAAAGATCTCATTACGTTCGGGGTACTAAGCTGCGCAGTGGTTGAAAATTCGAAATATGTCATTACGTTTGGACTACTAAAAGATATTTATGGTAACCCGTGCAGAGGCCTACTCTTTTCTAGGAGGTGTTGGTTCAAGTCAGGTGATTTTGCTGGCCAGCCGAGATGTAATTGAGTGTCTGAGTGTTCATAAAACCAGTCACATATACTTCCAGCCCCATGAACTTTGCTGTTGTCATCTTGAAAAATAGGGATATCGACGACACACTTTACATGAAGAGGGTGACTGAAAAGCAACTCCTAATTGTCCAGAACTATCAAATAAACATGTTGGATCATGTTAGTCGCCCCCTCAGTTAGGAACCCAATCCATGATAAGAAAAACACCCCCAAGTCATGACAGACCCACCTCCGGCTTGAACCTATGCTTGCACACAGTCAGGATGAAATGCTTCATCTGGTCTGCGTTGCACTTGCAGACGTGCTTCTTTTGAATAAATGCAAAAACGTGATTCTTCAGACCTTATTACATTCCGCCAGTCAGCAACTGCCCATGTTCGGTGACTTCTAGCCCACTGAAGTCGCGCAGCTTTATGTGCAAGTATCTATTTAAGTATCTATTATTGTATCTATTTAACAAAGATTCTTTATACCTCAAAAGATTTATGAGATGCACGGGAAAGTAACAGAGACTGAACATGACGACGACAGCAATCAACATTTTGGAAGCCTTTCTTCTCGATCTGATTTGGCTCTCACACGTTGTTGACCTCACGGCTGATCGACCCACAAATGTGCTGTTGCCACCTAAGAAATACATTTAATATGAACACTCCCTGGACATATTATGAGACGTACTCTAAGATTCTATTTCAAATATTAATTATCAGGTGATATTCTATACAGCTTTATTCTCTTTACGAGACTGCTTGCACTTGTTTACGTTCCTTTATCCATGGGTTAAATTAGACGATATATAATATAAATTCGACGATAGAATAAATTAGACGATATATTATATTAAATATAGAATATTTATTATATCAGGCATTATATTAGTATATTATAACAATGAGATCAAATTATTAGACGCACTGTACTGTTTTAATAATGACATGTTTTGCACGAGTTTGTATGTAATGCGTTTATAGTCAAACATACATGTAATGGGGTTTTTATTCATGAGATTTTTTATAGACTTCCTATTTGTATTTATTTTTAACGTATTGCATGACCATATATGGCAGTACTTTTACTTTCGTTACTTGTACCGCCGGTACAAGTAAAAAGTACGTACTTTTACTTGTACTTCGTTACTTTTTAAATTTTGTACTTCTACTTGTACTTTCGTTACTTTTTTAGGGAAGAAGTACAAGTATTTGTTACGGAAATATCGAATAAAATCGTTACTTTTTTCTAAAATTCCGTAAGCTTTCTAAAAAAAAAGAAGAAAAAAAGAAAAAAATTAAATTAAAAAAAAATGCTTGTTTTTTTAATTTATAAAATTAATGCGCAATATATATGCATTCACAGCTAACTTCGTGTTTAAATACCTTCTGTTTCAACTTATACTGCACATTCAATTATTTTTTACTAGCTCAAAGATCACAAAGCTATCTGTTTGCTTTGTTTATGTTTGTGCTTTTAAAACGCGTTTCTAAAGAGTAAAACAATTTTAAAACAATGGTAATTTAAATAAATAAAAATAATAAACTAAAAATTAAAATCAATAGATAAAATTTCTTTTTCGTGCAAATTCATAAAAAGTTTGATAGTAAAAGTATATTTCATTTTAAAATTATATTATACGATTATATTATAAAATTATATTATAATATTCTCCCAAATTTAAAAATAAATTAATATTCATAATTTTCAAAATTAAAAATAATTAAATAAATAACAACAATTTTGCAAAAACATTAAAGAACATAAGAATATTATTCAATAAAATTTTAGGTTACTTTAAATTTTCGATTTCCCAGAAATGTACTTTTAAATCGTTACTTTTTTGATTTAGTACTTGTACTTTTACTTGTACTTTTTACTCGTTACTTTTTAAAATAAGAACTTTTCACTCGTTACTTTTTTTAAAAATACTTGTACTTTTACTCGTTACTTTTTAAAAGTAACGTTGCCATATATGTGCATGACAATGTTAACCCATTGAAATAGGAGCGTAAACATATGCAGATCGGTTTCCTCCGATTAAAAACGATATAGCTGTAGAATATCACCTGATAAATATAATTTCACATAGAAACTTAGAGTGTGGTGTAATAATATGCCCATGGACTGTAGAGTCAGAAAAGATTACCATTATAACTTTTGAAGGGTTGATCGAATTTTCATTCTGTAAAATGCTTTGGCAATATCTCAAAATATGCAGAGTAGTTAACTGTAACTGTGGAAAAGTGTGTTTGTTTTTTCCAAAACATGCACAAGAAATATACCTTTTCCGATTTATCACACTACCATAAGGGGGTGGTTACCGTTATTTTGGTTAATTGTAGTTTAACCGCTAAAAGGGATCAAACTATGATCACTCTGTTATTTTAATAAATAAATTATAGAATGGTTTGAAGTGACACAGCATTTTGAGATGACATCGCCAAAATCTAATTCGATTGAGATTGCATTGTGAATCTTTTTTTTCAAATAAATAATTTATGCCTGTGACTTTAAGAAACGCAAATATTTTTAAGAAATTTGTATTTTAAGAATTTTTTTTTTTATATTCATCTATTTTTTTAAAAAAAAATTTTGCATCTTAGTTTTAGAATATACTTGCAACCTTCTTCATTAATAAATCTAGTAACAGATTCATTCAAAAGTTTCTTTCCTCACCAATAGTGCTTTTAAATGTTACATTTTGTTTTACCCATCTAGATTAGGTAAAACTGCTAAATTGAGGAACAAATGAAATTTTTACTATTAAACTCCAGATAATCGGCTATTTTATTATTTTGAATTTAATACTAATAAAATATGGAAGAAAAAGTAGGCATCAATTTTAAATGATAACAAAGCAAAGTTTTCTACGTTGCTACCAACTACCACACTTTTCACACAAAAAAATGTATCCCAGTGAAAAAGAATTTTTTTTTTAAATTTGATTACGAATTAGTCTTGAAAGTATTTTAATCTTCAAAAAATATAAATGAATAAAATAAATAATCTGCTAATAATGTATTTATGTTCATAAATGATAGCAAAATTTGGCAACTATATGCTTTCTTTGTATATAGAAAGATACTATTTTATTATATTATTACTTTGTATATAAAAAGATACTATTCAATTGTTTTTAAATTTATTTAATAATTTCAAGGGTAAATAAAAGGCTTCAATTGGTTAAAAATAAACCTTGAAAGTACTCTGCAAGTTATATTCATAATAATGTCATCCTAGCTTTCACTTAGTCTTTTGAAATTTTTTTAATCTTTAAAGTTTCGGTCAGTTGTAGCAAAGATAACAAATAAATCAAATCACAATTAAAGGAAATAGTAAGCCTTAAGTTTTACGGCCAATTTCGTGTTTAGCTTTACACGGTCAATTATCCATAGCTATGTCTTCTACAGTATAACAACCCACTTCATAGTGCATACCATAGAAACCAAAAAAAAAAAAAAAAGAAGCACAACTCTAAGCGAATGCATATCTATGATACATAATTTCCAGCATCGAAACTAAAATACAGAAACTTACATGTTCGTGCTGATCCAGGAATGTTTTTGTTCCACAGAACTCTTGTTATCTGATAATAGGTGTAAGCCATTAATGAAAATGGCGCTACGTAGAGAACGAGTATAAGGAAGAGCTGGTAGATCCTTACACTATTCTCACTCCAGGTATGGGTGCAGTCAGTCAGGTAGACTATATCTACTGGCAATGTTTTCTTCCGGGTGTCCAACACGATGGCTTCTGGCAAAGCTATCAGTATGGCGATGGACCATATCAAAAAGATAGAACTTTTAGCTCTCGAAGGCGTGCTCTTGAAACTAAGAGGATGGCATATGGCGTACCACCGATCAACAGATATAAAAGTCAACGTTAACACCGAAACACCAACAGAGACATTCTGAAAAGATACAATAATAATAGTTCAGAGGTACTTTTGTAAAGTACCGGATGTCATTTTCGACCCAACACTACTTTTAACCAACAATGGAAACATTGTCTTTGTTATACAGTTTTCAATGGATATCGAAAAAAATTGTTTTATCGCCATTTTTTATAGGTTTTAACGATAATGGACGATGGGATTTTACACTATTTAAGAGGATTTTACGATGAGATTTTACATACTATTTTTTTTCACTTCTGAAAAACGGTAGGTGATAAACAAAATGAAATATACATTCTGGGTAAATTTAAAAAAAAAAAAACATTTTACCGGGATATTTGGGAAAAATCTCCAGTATTTACTCATAGGTCTGAGAGATTTTAAAGCTAAGTAGATACTATTAGTTTAGTGTATTTTTTTCAAAGAACCAAGTAAAAACCTCAAACAAAAAATTAAAACTACCTCCTCACACAATATTAGAGAACATTAGAAAAGCAGAAAAATCTAGCTTCTCTCGTGCCTACAAGAGGTCGCTTTTTTCTCTGCATTACAAAAGGTTAGATTCTGTACAAACTAATGCATGTGTTTCGTTCAAATTTGTTTCGTGATATTATTTTGCATTGGTTAGGTGACTTTTTCTGTTATTATCTAACATCGTTTTTTTAATAATATTTTTATAAAAAAAAAATTTATTTCACTAATAAATGCAAGGAAATAAAGCGAGACATATTAACAAGTTTTAAAACTTTTTATGCGTAAAAAACATTTATTTTATAATCAGTTTACTATACAGTTGTCTCGGCCAATGAAAAAAAAGTTAAATATTAGTCTTCGCGGGATAATTTTTGACACAAAGTGATACTTTCTAAATGCCAGTGAAGGGATACGCCATTTTTGTTTGTTCTTTTGTTTTCTGTGTAAATTCAATGACCATCGTATATACAATCGCGTTTGCAGTCCCACAATCCAACAGCATAATTCCCAAACAAAATTTGGCAAACATCCAATCACGGCAGATTATGTTTTCTCTTATTTATTTATTTGCTTTCGATTGAGTAAAAGCGTGATAAAACAAGACTGACAAATTCTTCGAGCTAACATAATAATAAACACACACTCGGGTTAATCAGGGTGTTAATAGGGTGACTATGAAATGTGTCCTCATAGTGGATTTATGGTTATATTTAGCTTTTACTGTAGGTTTTCTTCTGATTTCATAATTTATCTATAGCCTTTGATTAGGACTTAATTTGAAAGTTGCTTCTTCAATTATTGAGATAGCTCCTTAAATCCGATCTTTAGATCAAAAAATATTTAGAGTCTGTTTCTCATTTCGATTTAAAAAAAAATTTTGTTTGAAACTTTTACTGGTCTCACATCCTCAGTTTTGGTGATGAAACTCTAATAGTGTCTACTGTAGAAATCTCGCACGTGGTAGTTAAATTCATGCATTTTTTCTTTTTATGCAATCAAAAAATACCATTGAAAAATCTGAAATTAAATAAGGGAAAAATTGGAAAGAAAAATAATTTTTAAATATATAATTCAGAGAATTATGAAGCTGTATTTTAACAACAGGAAATATTTTTTTACAACAAGTCCGACGGGTATATTATGATATTTTTTGCGACACACATGTCTCAAATTATACAAATATTTCGCTTAGCCCAGACCAATGCTAATGAAATAATATCTTACAGCTAAAATTTTTTCTTTTCTTCAAGAAATTATAATGCTGGATGCTAAAGAGTAGCTACAATAATAATTTATTGAGTGTCTTACTCATTGTTCTTACTGCCGTGCAAAAGAAAAAACAACTTAAGAGCCTTACAGTAAATTTCGAAAAAAAAATAATAACAAATAAATTGACTTATGTTAATGCACAGAAGCGTTGCTGTTGTTCCAAAATTAGGAGCTCATTTCCCTTTTAACCGCTTCCCTCATCATCCCGAGTTAACTCGGGTATTGCAAATATTTATTATCCCGAGTTAACTCGGATATTGCAAATATTTATTATACCGAGTCAACTCGGGTATTGCAAATATTTATTATCCCGAGTCAACTCGGGTATTGCAAATATTTATTATCCCGAGTGAACTCGGGTATTGCAAATATTTATTATACCGAGTCAACTCGGGTATTGCAAATATTTATTATCCCGAGTCAACTCGGGTATTGCAAATATTTATTATCCCGAGTGAACTCGGGTATTGCAAATATTTATTATACCGAGTCAACTCGGGTATTGCAAATATTTATTATCCCGAGTCAACTCGGGTATTGCAAATATTTATTATCCCGAGTGAACTCGGGTATTGCAAATATTTATTATACCGAGTCAACTCGGGTATTGCAAATATTTATTATCCCGAGTCAACTCGGGTATTGCAAATATTTATTATCCCGAGTGAACTCGGGTATTGCAAATATTTATTATACCGAGTCAACTCGGGTATTGCAAATATTTATTATCCCGAGTCAACTCGGGTATTGCAAATATTTATTATCCCGAGTGAACTCGGGTATTGCAAATATTTATTATACCGAGTCAACTCGGGTATTGCAAATATTTATTATCCCGAGTCAACTCGGGTATTGCAAATATTTATTATCCCGAGTGAACTCGGGTATTGCAAATATTTATTATACCGAGTCAACTCGGGTATTGCAAATATTTATTATCCCGAGTCAACTCGGGTATTGCAAATATTTATTATCCCGAGTGAACTCGGGTATTGCAAATATTTATTATCCGCATAACAAAATATATTTTACGCATAAACAAAATTAAAATTTCAACTTAAAACTTGCGTATTGTGTTTTGCTTTAGTTCCCTGTATTTATTAATGAAATAATGTTGATATTTTTTTTCCTTCAAAAAAAATTTGCTAAGGGAAGGAGTTAAAGAGTGTAATTTAATCTGTACAATGTGAATCTGTAGTGAAAACTCTTGCCTGCAAATAGAGGACAAGCTTGCAGGTGATGCTTCCGAAGAACCACGTCTTGGTGACATCCCACAAGACTGTGGGGGGGAGGCAGATAAGTATGACCAGGAAATCGGCCACTGCCAGATTGACAATGAAGTAGTTGGTGACCGTCCTCATGCTGTGGTTTCTGTAGACGGAGACAGAGACGAGGGCATTGCCTATCAGTCCCACCAAGAAGACGGTGATGTGCAAGAAGATGAGAATCCACTCGTAGGTGGAAGAGGGAAATATGTAGTCTTCGATCATCGAGAGGTAATCTTCGTCGGACACGCAGTACTCGTTTGTACAGCGCCCAGAAGACGAATTACTATAGGTCCAGTTCTCACCCATGTCTTCCGTGGGGATGAGATTCATGATGACAGTTCAATAGTTATCAGCAAGATTGTTGGAAATTACTTCTATGTAAAGAAACGTACATTTGCCGAGATGGCAACATGGAACATAATTTATTTTGCACTATTGCCAGATGAAGAATGGTTCCTTTGTGAGTACGTCGTCTGTACTGATGAGATTCATGATTGTGTATACAGCTCTTAATTTCGGCTGGACGAATCTAGCAGGTACCAGCCATATTTTTTAGTAGCCAGGAATCTTGTAGATGATACTAGAGCAATTGAAACTGTTTTTAGATAAATGCACAGAGATTGTAGTTGTTAAATGCAACATAATTTAAACGAATCCATTTTGTTCTATAGTCAGATAAACAATGGATCTTTTCTGAGTATGAAAATACATTTATACCAATCAAATTGTTGTTTTCAAAGGAATATCATTTTTTTTCTTTCATTCGAAATGCATTTTTCTTCGTTTCGTCGCTCATGCACTAATTCATTGTCTCAAACTAATTCATTCATCCGATTTCAATTTCGAATTGAAACGTTTCTTTCAAGATTCGGAAAAAAAACCTGCAAAAAAACAATGAATAAATCATGAATAAATTATCATTTTAGAATGTATTTATACTGTTCTTCAATACAAAATATAATATTTCTAGAGTCAATCGAAACAATCCGTATACAAATGAGAAAAACATTTATAAAATGGCACTCCAAACAATCTTTTTCAAATAAAGTAGGGCATTTTTTATTATTCCGTTTATTTTACTTATTTATTTACTAGCTGAATACCCGTTCCTCGGGGGGAATATAAGAGAAGTAAAAAATCACTATTGAGAAACACGTACGAAATCATGCTCTAAACTGAAAGGCATATTCCGATTCCATTGAAGAGCTTCATGGAAGAACCAGGAAAATGACATTGTTAGGGATTATAGAAAATAACGTAAAATGGTTGTAATAGTATATGGACATGTTTAATGTAACAGAACAGTTTCCGCTTTAATCTTAACATCACCCATCCGCATTAGTTTCTTGTATGCTTGCATGATTTTTATTTGAAATTAGACAGTGGTAAGTAAAATAAAGAACAATGGCTCCCCTCTTCTGATAAATTGGTAATAAAACAGTTGGGAAAAAACTTTTTTTCGTTCAGAAAATGCCACTTACCTGGTTCTTTCACTAAGTTTTTCAATTAATACAGCTAAAATAATTTCACTATTTTAATTTAATGATATTGGTTGCCCTTTTCGGTGGTTATCGAAGTAACCGCCTAGTATTCGTATCCTAGTAGAATAAAGATAAAATGCATCACTTGTCATGATACTATTGCATTACTTGATATTTAACACTTTCGAGTATATTTTCACCGGTACATATCCCTTTAGAGGGGCCGTGATTGTCATTAAAAGTATTAGATTAATTTTAATAATCACCAAATATATCAAGATAATATTTTATACCTTTATTAATATACTTAATCTTTCACCATTTAAGTTTTGTGTGTAATTCATTTGTCTGTGGCAGCCAACTATCGCCAAATTAAAATGGAATTCTTATTAGAACTTGATAAGGATTTAGGACTATCCACTTTTTACTTTACTGTTATGAGTAGTGGCGGGGAAAGTTCATTTAGTTCTAATGCAATAAAATATTAATGTTACCATTGAAAAAAAATACTTTCTGAAATGACGGAAAACCCGTTGTAGAATTGTTATCAAAATTGCACAGATTTCCATAATACCAGTAGTACACATTATCGTCAGACGTACATATTAAGTCAGCATCTTCTGGGAATGCTGATTTTTAACGGTTTCCCTTTACATTTGAAAAGAATTATTGTAAGCAAAATAAACAAGTAATATCAGATAACTTTAAAAATATAAATTTGGTGACATGAATGATACCACGTTAATAGTGTCCATTGATTTTGTCTGACATAGCGTATAAGAAATATTTAAATACTAAAGTATATGTCATTAACTTTTCTGAACAAATAGAGCTATAAGCTAGAAAATATTATTGATGTTATTTTGAAAATATTCGAAAACTGAATCATTTACAGTAAAATTTAAATAATGACTGACGTTTAACCCATCAAGAAATTCCATTTCGTTTTTCGCTCATCCCGCTTGAACGGTTTGTCGTAGAATGTTCTAATGTCGACAGTGATCTTCCTCGAGCTTTGAACTGTCTACATGCCAAATTTCATTGCTTTCGATTAGATGGTTAGGAGTCTATAAAGGATACACACATACACAGACAGACAGACATTCATTTGCAGATTTTTTGAAGAGAATCATGTTTTTTTTTCTGGATAACATCAACTCTGCCGTGCAACTGTAAAGAGGACGTTAGTGCTCGTCTATAGATTTCGAGGAAAAACTAATAAAAAAAATTTTTTTTGCAGTAAATAGCTCATTATACAAGAATGCTAAATACCTAAGAATTTCACTTTTTAACTTTTATGTTGCTTACATTGACTTTTTTGTTGTTGTTCTTGCGCGGCAAAACGGAGGCCAATTCGATTTTATTGACCCTTCTTTAAAAAGAGTTTGGGCTATAAAGAGCTTATTGGACTCTGTAGTTAATCGAGGGTTTTTAGTAATGATGTATATATATTTTGCCTGTAAATTATTATCTCTCATTTAACTGTACTTTATTATTATTCTGTTTCACAACACCTTATTCTGTTCGCTGTAGCATTTAAAAGAAAGAATTTTCCCCCATTGCTCAGCAATAGGGACGTATATTTCCTCTGCGGGGGGAGGGGATGTTTAGTAAGGGATGATTTGGTAAAAGTTTTTAATATGGAAATGTTAAAGCTCGCTTGAAATAGACATTTTTCTTATTTAGAATTCAAACACAAAAAATTATATATTTTTCTTTCAATTTGAAATTTAATTACAGGAATATTAAGCGAAAAATTGAAATCATATAAAGGGCTTAATTGGTTAAATGTGAGGGATCTGAAGCCCCCCCCCCATAATTCTGCGGTCCCTGAATAATTAATAACTTTTTTTGAAGTATAATTCTCTATTCACAATAACTATTTCTTAACTGATTAACATGTTTGTTAAACTGTAGTTTAATTTTTCGCCAATAGATTTAAAGAGGCAAAATACTTGTTTATTTCCAGGAATAATATTATCGAATTATCAGTTATCGAAAGCAAATTATCGAATAGTTAAATAGTTTCTAGTCCATTTTATTGAGAAGTTAAAAAAAAAAAAAAATAAGCATACGTATAGATCCTTTTTATAAACAGAGTTTAGAATAAGAAGCAGAAAGATATATGGCGAAACGTTAACATATTTTATTCTATTCCGTTTTGTCTTTGGCACGAATGAGCACGCAATAAACAAAACTGGGAAGTAATTGTGGTTGTCACCCACTTGTAAACAGATTCTGCTTTCTTTGGAAGAGAGTTAAAACGGCGAATATTTATTTTTTCAATCTTTCGAAAATTTAAAAAAAAAATAAGAGTTCTTTTATAGGAATTAAGATTGAGCTTCAACGTAAGGTTGAAATGTTTTTCTGTGAATTTTTCTGTGGGCTCGAGTTCTAACTATATTATGTACTTCTTATTTTTTATATATACTTCCTGTTTGCATTCATTTTTAACACATTGCATTACAATGTTAACCCAACACGAATATAAACCGGTTTCAGTCACGTAAAAGCAGTAAAGCTGTGTAGCATCACGTGATAATGAAGATTTTACATAGAATCTTAGAGTGCGTCTCATAATTTGGCCATGGACAGTATACTTATAAAAAAAAAGCTTCTGCTGTCGACCGGCCCGTGTAGGGGGCAAGGAACTGTCCTAGCATCAGAAAGGTCCTGGATTCGAATCCCGAGCAAGGCATGAATGCTTCTTTCTCTCTCTCTGTGTCCTTTCTCCTTTGTGTGCGAATGTGACCCGCCCTATAAACGGGTTGTGTGAATGGCGTGGCATAAGTCGATTTCCTGGCCATAGATGGCGCCACTGAAAAACAGTAGCAATCGCACCCCCACTGCCTAAACAGGTATACGACAAAAAAAAAGCTTATGTTATTTAAGTATGACTAAGGTTAAAAGAATAAATTGTATATTGAACTGTAATACAAACAAAAGAAATTTAATAAAACTGCAAAAATATTACAAAATATTGATATATCACGTGCCTATCCTATGATAAGATTTTTACTATTAAACTATTCTTTAATCATGATTTATTACAAATAATACGCATCTTTTCAAATGATTTTTAACCTTTAAATAACCGAATTTGGTTTAGGAATTTATGAATTAAAAGATAACCTATTCATTATTTATTTAATAACTTTTTTTTTTAATTGTATGATACTAGGAGGCATCGCCTCCTGCTCGCTTGCGCTCGCCAACCCCCGGAACTGCTTTCTCAGTTCATTTCGGATTGCTTCGCAATCCAATGCTCGCTTTGCTCGCTCATTGGATACCTTCTTAACGTCCAGCTTTTGTATACTTTTTTGAATACTGAAGTTCCGAAAACTTTTCACTGTAGAAAATTCTAAACCTGTGCATTTCAATATTAATTTGAAAATGCAAGCAGTTCACATATTTTGCTTAATCACACTATTCTAAATTTCAGTTGTTGAGAAAAGTAACTGTTGTAAGTTTTGTTTTAAAGTCTTTCCCACCAGAGAAGGATCATAGTAATTATATAAGTAAAAATTAAGGTAGTATTGTTAAGTTGAAACACAATATTTTTAGTTTTGATGTCAGCAATACAATTCAATTTTTCACAAAAACGATTGTTTCCATTATTAAATTCAGTGTCAACAATTCAAATTTTTCTGAGGCAACTCTTAACCTCTAAATATTATTTCTTTTATGTACACATTTCTAAATGTCAGTATTCAACCACAAAACAACTTAAAGTCCTCAAATTTAGCATGAAGTTGTAAAATGTAATGAAAGAGGGTCATAGCAATAATGTAAGTCGAAGTAAAGTTAGTACTGTAAAATTAAAACAATATTTCTAATCAATGAGCCAAGTTCTTCAAGAAGCAGTAGCTGGATAGAAGCTCAAGAAGAAGTAGCTGGATAGAAGTTTTTTTATTTAAAACTTTTTATAGAATTTCTTTAAAAACACAATTGTTAATCTGGGCATTTGGAGATACAACACTTATAGAATTGAAGGCTTTGTTACGTCAAGCGCTCAGGTATCACAATTTTGATCTAGTTACGCTTCTATGTCATTTTGATTTATGTTGCTAAGTTAACTTTCAAAAATGTCTATGGCTTGCAACAGCATTTTTATTTTTTAAGTTGTTTATTTTTATTTCGTTTGAAATTCGTTCTTTTTTTAGAGAAATGTTTTTCAACCTAACAGAATTCTTTGCCGACTGTTTTCTCTATAAATGAAGAAAATAAAGTAAATATTTAAGTGTTGTGAAAAGAATCTTATTTAGTTGTACAAAGTACCTCTTTAAAAATGAAAACTGTTGCCACCGGTGGTTAAGAAATACAGCCAAAATTTGGGAGCCACGTAAGAGAATTATATATATTAGATCATATCATATAGTAAAAAAATTTTAAGCGCATAG